TCCCCTTGAGAACAGGAACAAGACAAGGATGCTCTCTATCACCACTCCTATTTAACATTGTGCTGAAAGTCCTAGCTAGAGAAATAAGGCAAGAAAAAGAAATAAATGACATCAAAGTAGGTAATTAAGAAGTAAAACTGTCCCTATTTGCAGATGATATGATACTATATATGGAAAACCCAAAAAACTCCACGAGAAAACTACTGGAACTAATAGATTCAGCAGAGTAGCAGGATACAAGACAAACATACAAAAATAAATTGGATTCCTATCAACAATAAAGAGAATGATGAAAAGGAAATCAGGTAAATAATACCATTTATAATAGCCCCTAAAAAAATAAAATACCTAGGAATAAATTTAATCAGGGATGTAAAAGACCTATACAAAGAAAAGTACACAACACTACTGCAAGAAACCCAAAGGGATCTACACAAATGGAAAAAACATACCATGTTCATGGATAGGGATACTCAACATAGTGAAAATGACAAATCCACTCAAAGCAATTTACAAATACAATGCAATTCCGATCCAAATATCAACAACATCTTTTAAGGAGATGGAAAAACTAATCACTAACTTTATATGGAATGGGCAGAAGCCTCAGATAAGTAAAGCACTATTGAAGAAGAAGAATAAAGTCAGAGGACTTGCACTACCTGACCTCAGAACCTAATATACAGCTACAGTAGTCAAAACAGCCTGGTACTGGTACATTGACACATATATTGACCAATGGAACAGAAATGAGAACCCAGATGTAAATCCATCCACCTACAGTCACCTGATCTTTGACAGGGCCCAAAGTCCATCAAATGGGAAAAAGACAGTTTTTTCAACAAATGGTGCTGGCAAAACTGGATGTCTATCTGCAAAACAATGAAACAGGACCCATACTCATATCATATACAAAAACTAACTCAAAATGGATCAAAGATCTAAATATAAAGCAAAAATTATAAAGTTCATAGAAGAAAAATAGGATCAATGCTAGAGGCCTTAATACACGGCATTAACAGGATACCAACCATAACCAACAACACACAAACGAAAGCTAGCTAACTGGGATCTTCTAAAAATTAAACACTCATGCTCATCAAAAGACTTCAACAAAAGAGTAAAAAGAGAATCTATAGACTGGGAAAAAATTGTTTGACATTACAAGTCAGACAAAGGTCTAATCTCCATAATCTACAAGAAAATCCAACACCTCTACAACAAAAAGACAAATAACCCAATTTAAAAAAGGGCAAAGGAAATGAACACTTCACCAGAGAAGACATTCAAGTGGCCAACAGACACACGAGGAAATGTTTGTGATCACTGGCCATCAGAGAAATGCAAATTAAAATCACAGCGAGATACCATCTCAACCCCCGGCATTACTGGCACGAATAAAAAACACTGGAAATAACAAATGTTGGAATGCATAATGATACAACCATTTTGAAAAATGATATGGTGCTTCCTTAGAAAGCTAGAAACAGAAATACCATACGATCCACCAATCCCACTCCTAGGAATATATCCTAGAGAAGACAGCCTCAAATCAATAGACATATGCACACCCATTTTCACTGCAGCATTGTTCACGATAGCAAAAAGATGGAAACAACCTAGATGCCCAACAGATGAACGGATAAACAAACTATGGTACATACATACAATGGAGTATCATCCAATGATAAAGAATAAGAACAATGATGAATCTGTGAAGCATCTCATAGCATGGATGAAACTGGAGGACATTACGCTGAGTGAAATAAGTTAATCACAAAAGGGCAAATATTGTATGAGACCACTACTGTAAAAACTCATGAAAAAGTTTACAAAAAGAAACAATCTTTGTTGGTTACGAGGGATGGGAGGGGTGGGGGCAGGAACACTAAAGAGATAAATAGATAATAATTTTGGTGAAGGGTAAGACAGTACACAACACTGGGGAAGCCAGCACAACCTGTACAAGGCAAGGTCATGGAAGCTCCATAGACACATCCAAACTCCCTGAGGGATGGAATTGCTGGGCGGAGGGCTATGGGGACCACGGTCTCGGGGAATATCTAGCTCAACTGGCATAATACAGTTTATAAAGAAAATGTTCTACATTCTACCTTGGTGAGTAGTGTCTGGGGTCTTAAAAGCCTGTGAGCAGCCATCTAAGACACACCACTGGTCTCACCTCTTCGGGAGCAAGAGAGAATGAAGAAAACAAGATATAAGGAAAAGATTAGTCCAAAAGACTAATGGACCACAACTACCACGGCCTCCACCAGACTGAGTCCAGTACAACTAGATAGTGCCTGGCTACCACCATTGACTGCTCTCACCTGGATCAGAACACAGGGTCCTGGACAGAGCTGGAGAAAAATGCAGAACAAATTCTAACTCACAAAAGACCAGACTTACTGGCCTGACAGAGACTGGAGAAACCCCGAGAGTATGGCACCCGGACACCCGTTTAGCTCAGTAATGAAGTCACTCCCGAGGTTCACCCTTCAGCCAAGGTTAGACAGCCCCATAAAACGAGACTAATGGGGCACGACTGTCCAGGGACAAGGACTAGAAGGCAGGAGAGAACAGGAAAGCTGGTAATAGGGAACCCAAGGTTGAGAGGGGACAGTGTTGACATGTCGTGGGGTAGTTAACTACTGTCATAAAACAATATGCGTACTGTTTAATGAGAAACTATTTGTTCTGTAAAACTTCATCTAAAGTATAATTAAAAAAAAAAAAAGAAAGTCCCTGGGTGACATAAATATTTTGTCCCAGACTATAAACAAAAAGGTTGGTTGTTTGAACCCACCCAGGGGTGCAGTGGAACAAAGGCCTGGAAATCTGCTTCCCTATGATTTAGGCCAAGAAAATCCTATGGAGTTCAGTTATGCTATGTAACACATGGGGTTGCCATGAGTCACAATTTACTCCAGAACTAGGGGTTTAAGTTTTTAATTCATTTTTATTTTTATATTGTCTTTGTTATGAAAGGATACCTTGGGGGCACAAATGGTTAAGCACTAGACTACTAACCAAAAGGTCGGTGTTCCAAGCCCAACCAGAGGCAACTTGGAAGAAAAACCTGCCATTCTCCTTCTGAAAGGTCAAAGCTTTGAAAACCATGGGAAATGCAGCTGTACTCTGCACACTTGAGGTCACCATTGTTACGAAAAGATCTCCAGGATAATCTGTTAATTAAAGAGCAAGAGCAAATTCCTTGCTACCTTTTATGTAACAAAGTAGGGTAAATAAAAATGTCTATGTATATTTGCTTGCTTCTACATACACACTGGCAAGATGCCTCAGAAAGCAATAAAGCTGATTACCTAAAGGCACCTGGTGGAAGAGGCATAAGCTGCATGAGGACAAGAGTAGAACAAGTCTTCATAAAGCATACTACTAAAATTCATACTGAGTTTTGAACTCTGAAGATATTACCTATTGTAAAAACATAATTTAAATAAACTGTACTTGCAAGTATTACAGAAATCAAATGACATATTAAATGTTTTTACTAGAAATTCCAATTTGGAATTACAAAACCATTTAAATTTAATCGTTTGGGTCTATTATTAAATGGTTTAATAAGACATTTGTGTAAATCAGAAAAATGTAAATGAGGGCTCTCTTTCTAAACACAGTGACCAGGGATATCAGAGTACATCCATTTTACCTCCATCGGGAGGATGTTTATAAAATGGCTAAACTATTAACACATTAGGGATTCTGGCATGACTTGTTAAAATGTAAAAGAATCTTTAAGAACCCTCTCAAGTTTTAAATAAAGTTTAGAGTAACTTTTACAAAATCAGTTACAACAGGCATTCCTCTGTTTGAGAAGCTTTATGTCTATTAAACTGAAAAATTCTCGGCAGAAACACACAAACTGATCTAGAAATTTTCTTCCAGTGGTGGAAACGCTAAACCCAAGAACTTAAATACACACATCTCATATGCTGAGATTCTCTAACAAAAAATAATAATTTTAGATTCTAATTCAAGACTGTGGAGAGCAGTTGAAAATTAGATTTAATACCAGCTCTAGGTACAGAAAGCCCTGGTGGCGCAGTGGTTAAGCACTCGACTGCTAACTGAAAAGTTGGCAGTTTGAACCCATTGGCGGCTCCACAGGAGAAAAATGTGGCAGTCTGCTTCCGTTAAGATTACAGCCTTGAAAACCCTATGGGACACTTCTACTCCGTCCTACAGGGTCACTGAGTCGGAATCAACTCGACGGCAATGGGTTTGGTTTGTTTTTTTGGCTAGGTACACAGGTAGGTGGGAGCACAAGGACCTAGATTGGGGATTCATCGTTCTCACACACCTAAGAAGCTCAAGGCAAAGCATTCCCCACTAGAAAAGGATGGGTCTGGAGACTCCACACAGCATCCAGCTGGACTCACTCTCCTCAGCGTCATTCTTTTGGTGACAATGTCATGAGAGTATCAAGCCCCACCCACGACCCCATAAACAGAGTCAGGGCCTACCCCTATGAATTCCCTCCCCACTTCTTTACTACATAACACAGTGTGAGAGCTGGAGCTCTAGTGTTAGAACCGCACTGAAAAGTCTGCAGTGCCTGGGGAAGCCAAGAACAGTTTTCAGTGATGGCACAAGGATGGTGGCCCTGGAGCGCCTGGGGTTCAGCCTCCTCAGCCAGAGCTCCTCCATCCGTAGGCTCTGGTCAGGAGATCCTGTCACTAACACAGAGCACCAAGGCCCAAGGTATTGATGCTATTGCCCCATGGTGCCAGCTCCAAGAGTCACATAAGGAAGGTGACCCAAGGCATTCAATACTTGAAAACCACATTATGTGCAGAGGAAAGGCCCAGTGACAGCAGAGCAGGGCTTAGGATGCCTCCCAGGGCCAGTCCCTCGGGTTCCTGTGCCACTTTTTTACCTCACTGAGGAACTACAGGGGCTAGAGCACACAGCTGGTCCCCCAACAATTCACATCCAGCCTCACTCATGGCAAGAATAACCCAGCTCTCTGCAGTACTCACCATGTCCTTGCTCCAGCTTCTGGAAGTCTAAGTCAGTGTCCTCTCAGAGCCCAAAAAGCCACTTCAGAAGGAGGGATGGATGAGAGTAGAAGCAGAGCCACTGGGCAGTCTGGAGAGAGATAAATAATGTTTGGTCCACACACCAGTTAGAGCAGTTGAAATCCTTACTTGTGACTGCAAAGATATGCAAGATGGTCACCCTAGGTCCCCAGCTGCCTGGAGTGGACTAGTTCTCCCTGTGTCACACCTGGGACCTGAAACAGAAGAAAGGTGAGGGGAAGACAGTATTGAGTAAGAAGGGAGTGACAGGTCCTTGGCTTTCAGTTCTTTCCCTGGGCAGGACCTCCTCCCAGGCTCAGGGCAATGCTCCACTCTGAGGGTATTTGCATTTAAGGCAGATCAGCCTCCAGCCTTTCAGAGCACATACTTGCATTCCTCATGTAGCTCCATAGACCTCTTCCTTCTGGCAACAACATCACAGATGGAGGAATTTACTCATTCTAGAGCATGAGAAGCATCCAGGCCTGGTCAGGCTGGAAACCTTCAACCTGATTTCCTCCAGGGAGTTAGGGGTCCAAATTTGAGGCTGTGGGTTCACCTATGTAATTTTGCCCTTAGCAAATCAACACATACACACACTGTTATTTAATACTGACATGGGTGAATTTTCAGGGAGATCACATTTTTCAAGTTTGGTCAACGAACTCATCATGCTTCTGACTTTTAATTATATGAAATTAAAACCCTTCTGTTATGAAGAAAAAAAAACACTCAATGCAAAGAAAGAAAAAATTACTGCAAAAGCAACAGGAAAAACACTGACCACATGTTACAATACCGAAATGAAAGGCAACAGGTTGTGCTTTAGAATTTTTTTTTTCATTTCATTTCTAGTATTTTAATATGTGATCAGTAGTTTCCCTGTTGCTTTTACAATTAACATTTCTTTCTTCCCCTTGAGTTTTGTTTTTTTACTTTGCTCTCAGACCATGACACCACCAGTCCCTAAGCTTTTGAGAAATCTGGGAAGATTCCTGAACACTTTCTATTTCAACTTTATAATAATCCAATCCACCAACACATTAGAAAAGTCATTAAGTTGTCTCTAAGGAGCACTCTCCTGCCTCTGTTCCTGTTTCTTTCCACCTCACTTTCCCACCCAGCTGACTCCCACCGTTTTATTTTGTGGTCTCAGGGTAAATGTTCTCTCTCTTTCTCACTCTCACATGGTCTTTATACCAGTGTCTCCCCATTAAGCATTATCCTTCCTTTCATTATTTTCTCCAATAGCACTAATTTTAATTCTCATCCTTATTTTTACACTTACTATTTTCAGCATAAACTACGAGCATGTCTGGTACGTTAAATCTCAATCCCATCCCTGACCTCCTGAATCAAAACCCACATTTTAACAAGATCTCTGGGTTATGCACATCAATATTCCAGCTGGAGACGCCTTCACTGCTCTGTAACCTGAAACTCAAGGAATGAGCATTCTATCAACTGATGCTCTTTCAACCATCTACATCTACGTTATACCATCCAGTATCTTCCTGATCCACAGCCAATCACAACGTTAGGCTACCTCACAGTCTTCCTTAATTTGCTCATAACAAGCTCCTGCCTGACGTCATTCAATCACGGTTGTCATTTCCAAAATCTATTTGCAGTACAGAAAGTGAAGTGTTGTTTTAAGTCCAGATCTACTCACACTCATCCCTGCTTAATGCCCATCACTGGCTGTCTGTCCGCTGGCCTTCGAAAAGCCTAGAGTGGTCACCATGATTCTAAATGACCTGCTGCCATTGCCTCCTCCAATCTGGCTCATGACAACTCCTCTGCCCCCCACCCAGGCTGTTTTCTCTGCTTCCATCATCTCTCACTTTCATCAGGGAATGGATACTGGGTTCTCTGCTGCCTCGGGGGTTTACACAGTCATTTTTTTCTAACTGAAATACTCTTTCCACTCTCACCTATCCCACATGTTATCAGCCCCGCTCAACCAAGTCTGTAGCTAAATCTAACTAATTTTTTGATCTTAAGTAATTTCCCTTCAAGCAGTCTAATCCGACTCTCGGGTTAGGTACCTTTATTAAAGGTATCAGACGTCCCTGGTTTTTCATTATTATTTAAAACTGTCTCCCACGGTAGGCTGTAAATCTATGGGCACTCTGTATTTCGTTTTTTTGTTCCTTCTGGCCTATGACACTCATCACTGAGGATGCACACAGATGATCACCTGTTGTATATACTCTTGACCAGCACTATCCAGTAGAACTTTCTTTGAAGGCAAACATGTTCAGCTTCTGCACAGTCCAATGTGGTAGCTACTAGCCCCATGTGGCTATTTAGCATTTGACATGTGACTAATGTAACTAAGGAACTCAATTTTTTGTTTTGGTTTTAATTGAAATAGCCACACCTGCCAAGTGGACAACACAGTTCTAGTGGACTCCCCAGAACCCTAAGTGACCAACAAGCAGAGAGGGTGTGAAGGCTGCCATCACCACAATGCAGGGCTTCACAGCTTTTTGTTTGCTGGAAGCCAGTCACACAGGGAAATAAAGCTGGTAAAATCAAAGATAACATTCAATTTAATTTGGTTGCACTTACGTGATTAAGGTTAACGTCAACCTAAATTTTATTTACCACATTCTGAAAATACAATGATATTTCAACATAGAAATGAGCAGGAGTAACTGGGGGGCAGGACGGGCACTCTGAGGAGGTGACAGGTGAAGTGAGACCTGAATTGTAAGAATTATCGATTCCTGTGGTTAAAGTTTTCTTCCAATCAGAGGAAATACTTGGTGCAAAGGACGAAAGGCAGGGATAATCCTGATATCTTTGAAAAAGTTCTTAAAAAATGTGCCAAGAGCTTATCTAATATGAGGGTGAGTGCTATAAATTTTAAGTCTGACGGCTATACATAAACCTGTCCAGGTAAGATCTTGTTTGCCAACATAAAATACATGGATCTTATTCTATACGTGGTTGATAAACTTACTTGGTTTATATTTTTGAAACATGCTGCTGGGTGGAGATTATACTTCCCGTGACAAGAGAAAAAGTAAGTCCAGAGGCTGTTTTCATAATGTAGATCTCACAGAGTAGCCTGGGCTATTTCCCCTAATCTAGTGAATGGATGCTGATGCCATTTACTTGTATGGGAAAGCCAAGTGAGGAGATTTGTTCAGGTGAGGTGGTAAAAGCTCCGTCTTGGACATGTTAGATTTCAGAGTCATACTGTCCTTAGTGGCCCAGGTGGACTATGGGAAGGATTTAGTGTCTGAATCCATTGGTACCCAAGAGCCAGCCCATATCTGAACCTATAGGTTGCCTCTTCCTGGTCACAAAGACTCAAACTGTGACCTCTGAAACAGGTTCCATTCCCACTTCTGAAACCTCAAGCTAGAGAAAGGAAGAGCATAGTTCTGGCATGTATTAGGCCTTTAGAATTTGTAAGCCGATGCTGTGGTGTTATTTGAGATTCTGAATGAGGAGAATTCACCAGTTTTGAATGAAGGTTTGAATTTGACATGAAGTAACTACACGACCAGTCATGTCTCCAAGAGGCACTCTACTCCCAAGAGGGGGTACTTCTAGAATATCTATCTGCAGAAAAGGAAAGAGAAAAAGAAAACGCACAACATTTTTCTGCCAATGTTGAGATTGTAAGTGGTGTTTGATCATTTTTCCTCTACTTTTGAACTTTTTGAAACGTAAAATTTTTACAGTTCTGAAAAGTAAGAACATTTATTTTCTTCACATATCAGTTTTCAACAATGGATTCTTAGGCATGATACCTGTGGTGCAATGGGTTTCTCTTATTTATTGCCTTTCTGGCCTTGGGTTTATAATTCTGTCGAAGATAATTGGTTGGGCCGCAGTCTGCTTTGTGATTGGTCTACTTTACCCACCTTGCAGGGATTGCTCCCTATATTATGCAAATAAGGTGCGCAAAACCACCCAATAGTGTTAAATTACCTTGCAGGAATTGGTCGATTACTATGCAAATTGAGCGACTGTGGTCTACCAAGGGGATCAAATAATAGTCTGGCTACAAGGGTCATGCTTTGAAATTGAATATAAGGGCAAATCCCACAGAGGTTGAGTGGGACCTCATGACCATCAAGAAGAGCCTGGAGCAGAGAGTGTCGTTTGGACTTGGGGTTGCTGTGCTAAAAACTTCCAACATGCAGGGGACAGAGAAAGCTGTTTAACACTGAAGACCAGCGTGAGACAGTGAGAAACAGCGGGAAACTACAGCAAAGCCCAGTGGCAGAGAAATGGCAGCTGCAGTACCAGCAGCAGGAACCATGGGATTGGCAGACGGCTGTGGTGGTGTTTGCCAGCCCACAAAGTGAGGTGGCTACAGTGGGCTTGCCAGCCCACAGAGAGACAGAGAGCTCAGTGCCTTTGGGAAGGGAGTTTGCTGGCAGAATGGGTTGCTTCTGGGCACTTGCTTGATGGAGCTAAAGATCTGTAACACTTGTCCTAGAAGGGCAGAGGCCCAGAGAAGGGCCTGTCTGTTGGCATGGCCAAAAGAAGGCCGCCTGCCTGTGGGCACAGCTAAGAAGATGCCGAGAGCTGTCTTGGTTGAAAGTTGTCCTGACTTAAGAACTGCAACCTGTCTCCTGAGTTGTATCCTGTTACTTCCAAGTTGATTTGATCCTGAATTGTAGCCTGTTACTTCCCTAAAGAACCACATAATGGTGAGTATGGCCTGTGAGTTGTGTGCGGCCACTGCAAGAAATTGTCGAAACCAGAAGTAGAGAGTGCCACAGGGGGGATGGCTGTTATAACAGTGAAGAATTGGAAGTGTGGAGGTAGGTCCTACCTCCACTTAATAGGAATCCACTTTTTGCTGATCTTAGTGATCCTCATCCATCCTCCTGAACGTAGACAGGTTGTGACAACAGATTACAATACCAAAAGCACGAGCAACAACAGAGAGATAAATTAAAAATCTTGTGCATTGAAGGACTTTCTCAACAAAGTGAAAACATAACCTACAGAATGGAAGAAAATACATGTGAATCATGTATCTGATAAGGGTTCAATATTCAGGATATATAAACAACTCCTACCATTCAACAACATACAACCATTTTAAAAATGGACAAAAAACTAAGCTACTTCACCAAAGATATACAAATGGCCAATAAACACATGAAAAGATGCTCAATGCCATTAGTCATTAGAGAAATACAAAAGAAAACCACAATCAGAGACCATCTCACCCCTACTAGAAGGGCTACTATCAGAAAAAAAACAACAAGAGTTGGGGAGAATGTGGAGAAATTGTTGGTAGGACCATAAAATGGTGTAGCCTCCCTGGAAAACAGTTTGGCAGTTCTTCAAAAAGGTAAAACATACAATTACCCTAGGAGCCAGAAATTTCCATTCCTAGGAGCCCTGCTGGCACAAATGATTAAGCACTTGGCTGCTACTGAAAGGTTGGGATTTGAACCCAACCAGCGGCTCCTCAAGAGAAAGACCTGGCAATCTGCTCCCACAAAGATTACAGCCTAGAAAACCCTAAGCAGCAGTTCTACTCTGTCAAATGGGGTCGCTATCAGTACAAAATCGACCCGATAGCACTTAACGCATATATACCCAAAAGGCTTGAAAGCAAGGACGTAAAGTAGTACATTTACACCAATGTTCACTAGAGCACTGTTCATAATAGCCAAAAAGTGGAAACAATTCAAATGTCCATCAACAGATGCATGGATAAACAAAATGTAGTATACCCATAAATTGGAACATTACTCAGTCATAAAGAGAAATGAAGTTCTCATAAGTGCTACGACATGGATGAACCTTCAAAACATTATACCAAGTGAAATAAATCAGACATAAAAGGACAAATATTGTACGATCCCACTT